GGACAACATTTAGAGGTCTATAAAACGGCTTTGTAAAGTAAAAACAATTCTGACAGCTTATGCCATATAACTGACATTTATATATACACATTTTCTTAGTAATAACAAGAGAACCCAACAAAATAAATGTGGTATCCTAACCAGGCATGGTGTGGAATGTGCACAGAAGACTAGGACTTTCTTTTGCATTTTTTTATCATTTATCTGCTTTTATATTATTTTAAAACCATAACAATTATTATCCTTGATAAGTAAAGTTCTCTAGTGGTCATTTTTTAAGTAACTATGCTTCAGTCGAGTTACACAAATTTTAAAAGCATGCCAACCAACACTCCCACCATTCTTATACTCGCATGTCCCCAGTCCGATGGGATCACGGCTGTGTGGCCTCTTCAGTGCTTCACAGCCTCCTGTTAGACTCTTCTTCTCGGTGCCCATTGCATGACACCATTTCTATCCAAACATATGCAGAGCTTATACAAACTCCCCCTAGGATTCAATGGCAATGCATATGCATGGGCCTGATGGAGAAGACTAACAGAAAGCTGTGCTTTGCGAGGAGGCCGGTGAATATATGACATGGGGAGGGGTGACAGTCTGGGTGAGATATAGGACTGGAAGGGCAGGACAAGGAAGGCAGGAGGCTGCAAAAAATAGGTGTTGTTAAACATTTAGTGCTAAGCCAATTGGAAGTTATGAAGCTAAGGTCAGACACTAACAAGATAAAATTGTTGTTTTGGGTTAGTGCATGTAAGAATTAAGAATGTTTTAAAATAAAGATGTATAAGATATATCAGCCACGACATAAAATAAAGGAGTTGTAAACTCTCAGTATATACTGTCCTGTTATAACATCAGCATTGTAATAGGAATACATACTAGTTGCTTTTGATAATGCAAGCAAAGTTTACTTGCAGAAATCCCTTTTATGTAGTGAGTAGCTGCCTTCTGTCTGCCCATCACTTTCAACGACTTCCTGGATTCCCAGTGTGCTTTGCATCTCTTTCTTTGCCGCTTGATGTGATGCAATCTCGATTACTTAAGACTGCAAAGCCCATCATGCATTGCTTCCAGCAAGCAATGATGATCTTACATTATGGTCTGTTCAGACATTAAGTTTTAGTTCAGACGGTAAGCTTAGTTAGAGTGGTGATACAAGGAAGTGCACATCCACAGAGTTGAGTGAAATTGTGGCAGTGCATTGAGGAAGTACATCCTATGGACACCTTCAATAAGTTTACAAACCTCTAGATGGATATGATTATTAGAAGTGGGATAAAACTATGAAAATTAAATATAGTTTTATTTTTTGACCACAGATACCCTTTAATTATTACAGCTAGACAAACTACCATCAAAGAGATTTGCATTATTGTAGAGCAGCAAATGTGTTTCTCAGTTATTAAAACAACTCAGGTGAACCCCACCTACATGGACATTGGCCTCAGTATATAAATCCAGTTTAAGTGAGACAATCTCCCTTCCGCAGATATTGAAACATTTAATTTAATAAACCCTCAAAACATGTGTTTTGTTTTGGATCCATTTGGATTTCTATTTCTCTTTTTTTGGATTTCGGATCCAAAATTTGATTCGTTGCTCGGATTTCGTATCCGTCCGAATTTTCACTTCCCGAACAAAGTCACATAACCGTGTCCGTAATGCAACCGCCAACAGTCATCCTGGTCCAGCAGATTCACCAGCTGATCCAACGCACACAAGGGTTTCTACAAAAACCGGCCAGCCACCAGTATTGGCGCCTGTGCCTCTCTCCGTCCGTACATTCTCTGTCACCAACCTCCAGAGGTGCACATGCAGCCCCTTTCTCAGCTTGGTCTCCCGTCAGGTACATGATGGATGCCCTGATTATTTTTGAAAAGCCATGCAGATATTCACCTGAGCTCTAATTTCCTCAAAGTTCTTCATCCACCCTTTTGGATCTGAGTATTGCTGTAGCCCATAGAGCCAAGAGTTCAACTTTTAGATACTCAGCCCAACTCTGTTTATTGTTGTTAAACCTTGTCTAATGAAAGGACCTTTATTGGCTACTGGTGTACTTGGGCAGGAACAGGTCTTTATTAAAAGCACCACTAACCATTCAGAAAATGAACAGAGTGGATATTTAAAATGAAGGTAATAAGTAAAAGCAGCAATATTTTACAAAACGGTTAACTTCCTGTCTAGGAATCCTATAAGGGTACATGCACAAGGCCACAAAGAGCCGTATGCTTATATTATGCCTGTTTTTTGTCCCAGGAGCCACAGGTGCATTGTAGTCAGTGCCCAGGCAGTCTGTTCCAGCCTGGGCGTGGTTATACGTGGATTTGATCAGCTACAGGCGTACAGGGCCATATTGGCCTCCCTGAATGCAGGGCAGTCTGTGTTCAGGGATCCCCATAGTGTACAGTATTGCCTGTAGCTGCTCAGATCTGCAGGTCACTGATTTAAACCGAGACACTCGTGTATGCAGCATGGTGCATGAGCCTTTAAAGTGATACTAAACTCAGGAATTAAATCTTAAAAATGCATTCAAGTGATGGACTACAATCTCAAAACAGATTAGTAAACTAAACATGAGATTGTAGTTAATCAAGGGAGCGACTTTGGAGTGGTAACTACATTACAACACACACAGGGTCCATGGGGTACAAAAGTAGCCACCCTCCAGAAGGACAGACAGTGTCAGCACCAATTCAGAGATGATTTGAGGATCTACAGCCGAGTGATACACAAATAAGATACATTTTTGTTAATAGTGTACCTGAATGTATTTTTAAGATTTAACTCCTGCGTATAGTGTCACTTTAAATTGTTACTTCGTAATTACATGACATGCTCCTTTAAAGTAATGTAGCCCTTTACATCTTTGCACATACCCAGTCCTGAATGGTAAGATGAAATGTACATGTTACTGCCGGGTGGTCTAAGGCACATTATATATGATTAACACACCATATGCAGAACATAAAGCGAAGTGTCTATAGAGCTTGTCTGCTATTAAAGTAGTGGGTGTTCTGCTCAATCAGATAGAACGGTTTTGTGTAAAATTTCCTGATTGGAATATAATACAATGACATTTTAAGCACACAGCTTGACGCAAATGAACCGCAGAGGGGAAAAAAAAAATCACATACCTACATTTCAGTGAAAGCACATGTTATAACTGAGGAAAAACGGAGAAATAGGCAGCTGAGGTTATATTTAAAGTGCAATTTTTCCTATAAATAAAGACCTTGATCCCACCCCTCCAGCCTTCCTACTGGTTAATGAGGCAGTCCATCACATTTTTTTTTTAGGTGCAATGCTCGGGTTCATGCAGATTCTCTGCATAAATGCACTACACGTGTGGTGACATCAACATTGAGAACTACAAGTCCTTTTGTTGCGGTGGGTGATGGGACTTGTAAATTCTCCATTCGTAGGTCCTGTCAAAGGATCTGTCAATGGATAACGCAGCTATGTGGGTGGAGTCACACACACAGTGGTGCCATTTTAAAAAGCAGCAGCCTGTGGGGAGAAGAAACCCACAATTTAGGTAGGGGGGGGGGGCGCATGTGACCAAGCTTCACGTTATACCCTGAATATGAGGGTAACATGAAACATGGTCCAAAAGGTAAACTTAGCCTTTAAAGCCCACTTCCCAGTATCACATTATTACCTTTTCTTTGCTGCCCTGCCACTCCATCCAGCTGCTGACAGCACTGAAAAAAATTGCCATGTTAAGCTGGCCCGACACTAGTACATTTTGGCACAAACGTTGTGAAAAATGTGAAAAATCAGAACATTCGATAATGCCATCAGAGACTTGTAAAATGTCATTAGAAATTTAGTTTGATTGTAGCATTCTATTTTGGAATGAATGGAGTGTCCCAAATGAAAACCCCATTGAGTGTTAGAATTGGTCACTATGGTCAAAGACGATTGTCGATTTGACCCCAAAAACTATTAGAATAATTGAACAAATGTTCTGACAACGAACATAAGGAAAAGGGGAGTAAGTCACATGGTCCTCCTCAATAGTCGAAGTACTGGGTATTTCCCTTACTCCAGGCAGCTGAATGGACAAACCACCAAGGACGTGCGGTTAGGGGAGGCAGGTGAGGCAGAGCATCACCTAGAATTATGGAGGAAAAAGATGTCAGCTTCATGTCTGAAGCCGACAGCTTTTTCTCCATTCAGATCGGCATCTAACAGGTTACACAGCAGGGAAATCCTTCCCGCTGTGTAACCCGTCATGGACGGGGCGCCTCAGCAGTGAGGAGCAAGTGAGGGACAGGGAGACTCCTCCCTGTCTCCTCCCTTCGTCCTTTACACGGCCGACGGGGCAGAGCTTTTGCCAGCGGGGGGCGGGACGTGCGGGGGGCGAGGCTGGGGAATGCCTCACCTGGAACAAGAGGTACCGCACGTCACTGCAAAGCACTGTCTAGTTCTGCTTAAATTCAGAAGCACTCTAGCAACTTTCAATATTAAAAGTGAACTCTGGAATAACAAAATATTCTCTAAATACAAAAGGCGTGTACTGTTACTTGAATCTTGGTGTGTTTTGTGTATTTCTTCCAGCTCTGTGCAGTAATCCAGTGTGAAACTTTGCCTCTGTTCAGGAGCTTCCTATAATAAAGACCGGTCACTGCTGCTCTCTCTCCTTTTGCAGGCTGATTGGTCCTGTATCCGCCCCCTCCTGTAGTTTTCTGAAGGCAGCCTATGGTTGGGTCCATCGAATGGGTCCCTCTCCCAGCTCTGTACAGGCTATGTACAACATAGTGATGATGTCACCACTACTTTAACAAGATAATACTGCGTTGGCAAATGCATCTGGTGCACACAAAGTGGATTCATATCCTTTGTGGTTACCGTGGGGTACATTTAAATGAACACTTGTGTACCCGGAGCTTTATCTCTGCTGATAGCTGTCAATAACCAGTAGGATCCATGTGGTGTGCTGTAACGATATTGTAAAATGTGTGTGAAGAAGGAAAATAATCTGACTTTTACAAACTCACCGAATAGCCCTCAGTTTTTTTCTGGCACCACTTGAGCAAAGCATTTCTTTTGGAGCCTCCATATTCTCTGGCTAAGGCACCTAAGGGATCTTTCCTTTCCGCACTGAGAAAAGAGGTAACAGAACATATTTTCATTCGGTAGCATTACAATATTTTCAAACTATTTTTTTATATAAAAAACTGTGAAAATTGTACTACATGAAGTCAGTGATGTAGAACATGAAGCAGCTACTTCAGTACAAATCCAATAAATCCGGATGCCTGATGCTGAGCCCAGTTCATTAATACTTAAAACAAAACACCAATGGGATCATTAACATGACAGTACTTAAAAGTGTTCAGTACTGACAAGAGGCTTTCCTGATAATTGGAACACTTTTTTTACACATGACATTTTTTTACATGATAGGCGTGCTTACTAACATGAACATATTTGGGGAACTACTATATCTTATGTTGAAACCCTAAAACGGCTAACGTTTAAAACTCAATAAAATTATACAGCTGGCATGTTATATTCTCTGTGGGTGACACAAGGTCAGAGTAATAGAATTGAAAATGTTCTATTATTCAATAGAATGGCAAAAGCTTAGAACTTCTGTAATATTTGTAATTGTTTGGTTGTTGGTTTTTTTTTGTCCTTTGACTTTCTGTCCCAGTGAACCAGTGAACCATGGGCTCCTCAATTCTTGTTCTGGTATCACAGGAGAAAAATTAGAACAAATCTCCCCAATATGGTAAGAGACAGAAATACAGGTGAAACTCGATTAGAATATCGTGCAAAGTTAATTTATTTCACTAATGCAACTTAAAAGGTAAAACTAATATATGAGATAGACTCATTACATGCAAAGCAAGATAGTTCAAGCCGTGATTTGTCATAATTGTGATGATTATGGCTTACAGCTCATGAAAACCCCAAGAACCCCAAATCCACAATCTCAAAAAAGTAGATTATTACATGCAATCAATAAAACAAGGATTGTACATAGAACAATATCGGACCTCTGAAAAGTACAAGCATACATATGTACTCAGTACTTGGTTTGGGCCCCTTTTGCAGTAATTACTGCAATTACTTTTGCACGATATTCTAATTATTTGAGTTTCACCTGTACAGCTTGACAGAGATTACAACCCTTTTCTCCATTATTTAAAACAAAAAGTTTTGGATTAAGATGAGATTTAATTAAATAAAGATGAACTATAAAATAAATAAATACATCCCACACAGGTCTCCCCTTCCTCTCCCAGTCTCAGTCTTGTTGTACAAATTATAAAGACCCATAAAGATACATTCATGAACTTACAATAGCTGCATTGAACACATTTCATTATTAATAAATAAATAACTGCTTTAAATTGATCTTATATGCATACGCTTTTATTATTCTTATAGAGGAACTTTACCCATATCTTTGAAATGACAACAAACACACCTTTAGTAATGACAATCTACAAACAGATACTTATAAATAATTGCCGGCTTTGTATTCATTGCATACCTTATTTCTCTTTTGCTCCCCATTCTTCTCAGTAACCATTTCTATTAAGGGCAGATTAATCAATCTCCCTTTGCTTCCTGGAACTCTGGCACATGTGAATAGGACATGTGAGCATGCACATCATCTCAGGGGAGGAAAATGCCTTTTCCTGAGATCTCTTAGCTGCATGCTAATGTGATTTTTAGTGAAAGGTGGTAAAGGTCCACTTTAAGGGAGCATAATGAAAACTATTTTATTTTACAGTGGAAAAAGATGAAGCAGTCATTGTGGAAAGTTATTGCTACATTAAAAGCTGCCTTACTGTAATCCAATACTGTGAAGATATCCTACTGACTTCCTCCTCTCTCTGCTGCTGTGACCCACTCTAAAGTAAAAGTAGCAGAATGTGGAGGCGATTGGCTGAGGATTTTCATAGTTTTGGACAGACACAATGAAGCTGTACAGACACACAGAACAGACTCTGAGGAAAAGGGGAGAGACCCCAGAAACACGTCAGTCAATACATTATTTGTTGTATGGTCGCCAGAGGTGTGCTACGAAATCCATGACTGCCTAGTGGTTTTCTTTTACCAACCAGCAGAATTTATTTTTACATGTTGGTTATATGTTTGGGAATATAGATCTTTGATTTTATTCAATAAATTGGACTAACGGGGACAATGTGCTCTACTCTTTTGCATTGTTGTTGACATACACTGTCTCTATCAGCCTCCACCCAAAGCAAAAATACATGTGTGTAAAGTACTCCTTTCAACTGTCCCTGACATTGATATTTTACCTAAAACATTGCATTAGAATTGTCTGAACCTAAAAGGAATTTAAAGTTATGTTCTAGAAAGTACCGAAATCACAGCTACAGAATGACAGTTGTCTCCCATCCCCATAACTGCCTGAGGTGTTCATAATATATTGCAAAGTCATCCAACGTCTTAATACATATTAATTTTCTCAGCAGGCACAAAAACTAGCATTTTCCTTGGGCAGGCATAAATAAAGATTCGATTAGATATTAGCCTGAACGAGGCACTGACTGATCTAATTATAAGAAGACATAGATAAAATGATCTTTTCACAAAGCATTATGTTGTCTTCTGCAGATGCTGCAAAGAGGAATGGAAAAATAAAAGATATAGGCAAGAAAAGCAGCCAGAGTTTACATGGAAGCCACTATCAGGGTCCTTTCTCAGAACTGAAATTCCAGCTTACGGGTACAAACTTGAGGGCTGAATCCCCCACTGGATTGCAATACGTTTTGGAGCCAAAGATCTCTGCACCTCTAGTGTCATTATGGGGGGGGGTTCCTCTCTACTCCCTTCCTTACATGACTGCGTGCAAACCTGGCGATTGACAGCTAAGCCCTGAGCACTGCATCCTGGGAGAAGGTCACATGCTCCCCTATACCAGAAAATACTGGATATCTCTCAGCACGGTCATAAACTAAAGCAGCGCCAGGGGAAGCTTAGCAAAAGGTAGTTTCAGCAGGTAGGAAGAGAGACAAATTCTTTTTAAATCAACAAAACCAGCTCTGGTAAACACAAGGCTGTACTTCTATAATACTCCACTATCCTTAGTACAATTATGGGAATGACCACCAGCAAATGGTCAATGGGTGTATTAGTAAAACGCTACTTTTTTACTCAAATAGACACAGCTGCTTTGCCTGCAGTTACATAGTTACATAGTTACATAGTATTTGAGGTTGAATAAAGACATATGTCCATCAAGTCCAACCCATTGTGTGTGTGTGTGGGTGTAAAGATCCTCGCGTCATCTCGTTTTTAGGAGTACTTGTACCCCTGTATATTACCGTTTCTCAGTATTGCCCAGAGTCTCCCCCACAACAATATCCTCAATTAACTCAGTTGAAATGCACCCTAATAGGACGTTCTGGGTCTATAAAAAAATGCAACGCAACTCAAACGTGGTCGAACACAGTCTAAGTACTGCCATGTGTACTGCTCAATGAAAATCAACAGGATTTTGCTGACCAGCATTTGATGCGCGTTCCAAATGCATGACAAGTGTAGGAGAACAATGCCAATTGAAAAAGGCCCTTATTGTAACATTAAATCTGAATTATATGATGACATTATAATATAAGACACCAAATCCTTATACCTTTCCTCTAATAAGGGTAATCTGCATCTTGCTGCTCAGTTGGAGTAGTTTTATAAATGGAACCTCCGTGTCCATTCAGGAATATAAATGTTGCTGCTGTTTATGTATTTTGAGGGTACTGACTCAAGGGATGTCATACTCATTCTTGCGTTACTACTTCCTGAGTCACTGACCGAAAACAAACATTCACCCAGTGAAGTATTAGCACACCTGATACAGGTATATATGTGTAGCAGCTTCATTCAATCTGAATGGCATTCCACATACACAGTAAGTTAAGACTCACTTGTATTGCTGTGCACCAGAACACACAGATGTAGTTACCCTTTGCATAGTGGTGTGTTGCATTGCCAAAAATAGTGCAGGTTCATTTTTTGTGCACTATAACGTGCTTTAAGTTACTAGCTTCCTCCCATCACCCTAAGCTCAGTATATAGGGAGCTACAGCTCGCGGTATACTGAGACGCCGCCGCTGAAGCGGATCCCGACAATTATGTCTGGATCCGCCCAACGGCGTGAGTAACAGCTGGCTCTGCCTATCTAGAGGCAGAGCAAGCTGTACCCGCCCCCTCCCCTGTCCCTTCTGCCAGTCAGCGCTGGCGGATCGTAGCGGGGGGAATCCAGCCCCTCCCCTGTCACGGCAGGGAGCTGTGACAGGATCGAGATGTGAGTGAACGCCGGTATGTGTTCGCGCACCTCCCAATCTATTGAGCCGACCTGTGACAGTCTCATTGTCACAGGTCGGCTAGAACTATGAGGTGAGTGAAAAGCACTCCTCATAGTTCTCCTTTAGGCTGGGTTCCCACCTAGGCGTTCAAAATATGCGTGTATGACGCGCGTTTTGGGGTGCATGTTTTAACCGCGATTTGCGGCCCTCAAAACGCGCATCAAACGCGCGTTTACGAGGGCTATCCGGCTGTATCCTAATGGATACGCGCGGAAATATGCCCCAAAGAAGCTCCTGTACTTCTTTGGGCGTAGGGCGTTTTTTTTCCAGCACGTTCCGACATGCTGAAATACGCCCAAGTGACAACCATGTCCATAGGAAATAATGGGATTTCATTTGCTGGGCGTTTAACAGCGCGTCGATCAGCGCTGTAAAACGCCCAGGTGTGAACCCGGCCTTAATGGCTCTAAAATTATTACTCTCACTCCGACATTTGCGGCAACATGCGTGTGTATGTCGGGGGCGGGACTTAAAAAATGTTTTAAAAAAAGAAATGTTATGCTTTTTAATTTTTTTTTATGAATCTTTCATTTTTGTATTACTTTTTTTTTTTTTACACACACAACTTTATTGCTATTATATGGGATAGCCAATTTACATGACAGGTCCTCTTTTTGGAGACATCAGGGGTCTCCAAGACCCCTAATGTCACCTAAGGACCTCCAGAAAAGCTGATGAAGCAGAGATCTGCTTCATCAGCGTCTCTAGCTGGAGAGTGACACTGAATGCAGGAAGTGATGTAATATACATCACTTCCTGCATTCGGGGACTGAGAGGAGATCAAAGGGAGTTTGTGTACTGAACTCCCTTTGATCTCCTGTCACAGAGCCGTGCCGATCCCGACCGCATCGGGCACAGCAGATCTCGGGACCGGCAACGGCAGTGACAGCTGCTGATACAAGTGATCGAGCGCTCGATCGCTTGACTGTAAAGCTCCCGGCCGGCCGTGTAATAACAACGGCCGGCCGGGAAGCTGCTTGTCGGGCTCCACCGTCCTCTCGTCACAGACGAGCAGACGAGTGAATTTTTCAAGCCCTGGATATAAATCTATATACACAGTATATCTAAACAGCATTTACTAACCTGTTACCACATTCTGGACCAGGGTGGGTGTGGGGCATACAGGAAGATCTAGATCAGTCAGGTTAGCCCAAGATTCAAGTGATGCCCTATTGTGTATGTCAAAGTGACAAATGTCTAAATTGTTTTAAACACAGTGCACACCATGGGAGAGAGTTAAACAATTAACGGTAGAACACATTCTATGCTGAATGAAAGTTCTCAAACTTTTCTCATCACTTGTTAGGATGATTGACTGCAAAGATCGATATGCCGCGAATATAGCAGAGGAGAAGAAAGTGACAGAATGGAGGCTATTGAGTGGAATTTCCCTTGCGTCACAAGCCTTGGGAAGCGAGCTCTTATTGAGAAGGAATTGAGTTCAAGTACAATGTGTGAAGTTAAAAGGTGCTTCGTGTCCATAAGTCCCTGGGGAGGAAATCTGTGCCTGACACAAAACAAATGACATTATTTATTTGGCAAGGTCAGAAGTGTGTGCAGAAATAAAAATGAGACTTTACGTCCATCGTGTACTAAGAGGCCTGAAGACACAGGCAGAATTGTAGGAAATGGAAACGGCCTTTCTGAAATTCCATTGAACCTCTGGTGTACCATCAAATGCTGTCCAGATGGACATAGTGACCGTGTTTCCCTGTGGCAGGATATAGCTTAGTGGAAGATGGACAGCTCTGTCAGGTTATACAGTAGACAGCCTCATGACTCTCTCTCTCTAAACAAACTTTAAACTCAAAACCTTACACATTATTATTAAAAGGAGAACTATGAGGTGAGTGCTTTTCACTCAGCCTCATAATCTGAGCCGACCTGTGACAATGAGACAGTCACAGGTCGGCTCAGTAGATCGGGAAGCGAGGGAACACATACCGGCGCTCGCTCACCTCTATTAGTCACTCAATATTTTCCTTATGTGTTGTCCCTTATATTTCTCAACTGAGTACATTATTGGCAGATGCTTTGCAACCTGTTCTGACAACAGGTATTTTCTGTATTGCTGGAACTTTAGAGAGATAAAACATAGGGAGATGTGCATGTATTGCATATAGTTTACTTTGTCCTGATACACACTTTAACAAACATATCTAAGATACTTAACAGTATTCTTTTTATTCCTAAAGAATGTACTCATGCCTGTCCATTTTTTTTAGCTACAACTAACCAAAATCATCCAATAGATTTCCTCTTCAGCTGTCTGCTCTTTAAAAGTGTGCCACGTGGGAGCAAGTTGTCCCCAACCACATACAAGATGTAAGCAGAGGAGGTGGGCAGTTTCTGAGGGACACTGCACAAGCTACGTGATCTATAATAAGTCTTGTGGACTAACTTAGTGTACTGTGCATAAGAGTCTGCCACAGACAGACTGGGTATCAACTCTTTAAAAGATGCATAACATCCATGTGAGATTTGGTTCATCTCCCGGAAAACCAGGAGAGAACCCAGAATAACAGGATTCAATATCAATGTCGCTTTTCTTTTTTAATCAACAACAGTTTTGTCCTGTGACTCTGCTGACTGCACCTCACTTAATGTGACACCATTCCTGTGGCTACCCCATCTAACGGTATTTGTGCCTCATTTTACGATCATTATTGCTCCCTCTCTCATGTTTTAATATTCTAGCAATCCCTAAAAACTCTGTGTAAAAATTGCCTTTACCCACCTTCACTTTCCCTTCATCGCTCATTTCCCCATTGGTTGAAATTATTATTTTTTAGCCAGAAGAAAATTAATTCCAGCAGGAAAGGTATGTATTTGTATTAAGCTAGACAGACTGGAAATCAGACTTTTGAAGATAAAATCAACGTTAACCATATAGGAAAACGTGGGACGATCAATGCATTCTACCATTATGTATACTTCAAACATAATTTGCCCAACTAGCCAAAAGGTGGAATAAACATTGTAGAAACAAAACAAAATTATTTTTAACAAACAGGGGATTATGAAGACATAGGGTTACCTGTCTTGTCTATCTCATTTATTCTACCGTTGAGAATGGATGGCTATGTAGAACATGGAAAGTTAATTGAAACAAATGCATGAGCAACAAGCCGTTTTAGTGTAATTTGGGAGGCAAAGTGTAGATTCCCATGTGCCACTTATATTATTATCAGTTTTAGCTCTTCTAATAACTGCTGTACACTTTGCCAATCACAGCAAATAAATGCAGCTCTCCTGGTCCCTTACTTCTATTTGAAAGGTAAAATCAATGGGCTTAGCTAATATGGCAAAGTAATGTGAAAATGTTAATAGACCATATATTCAAATCAGCTATAATCAGTTATTGTTATGTTCTAAACTAATGAAAAGTGAATTCAGGTTACTGTGAGTACATCACTATTGGTATTTGCATTGTTTTATTAAAGAGGAATTCCTCTATCAGGGGGTTTAAAAAAAAAAACCACAAATTACAGTTACAATATGTCTCTGGTACCCAGCACCTGTCTAAGCTGTTAGACTATCAGCCCTCTATCATGCAGGAAAGTGGCTTGGTCAGGATGGATGGAAAAATTAAAAAGGGGATTTTGCATTAAAAGCATTAATGACTTGTTACTATGAAAAGCTTCAAGAAAGGATTATCTAAATATGTAAATAAAGCAGAAAACCCATTAAAAAAACTTCTGCAAGACCAGGGTGTTTTAAAATCATTTTTAGATTAGTGATCTGAATCTAACCCTTTTTTTTACCAGCACATACCAGAACACATCAGCAGCAACAATCGCACATGTGCTTTTGATTTGCTACTCACTCATTGAATCAGATGGAATAAGTCTACATCCCGCCCCTCATGGCCATTCCTAATACAGCAGCTACTGGGGTCTGAGGTTACAAAAACATGATTTATACTGTACTTCAGACATCACAAAATGAGTATATAGTTTGTACTAAGAACTGGTAAAATCCAAGCTATAAGAAAACACCAGCTGGAGTCTTTCAGATTAAAACAAATCCTGTAAGTTAATGAGTTACTGTAACAGTAAGAGCACAAAAGAGGAGACTTGGCCAAAACAGAATTCTCCTACTTGTATAAATGGCATTATCCTGATCCTCAGAGTACAACTACATTCCGACTTCCATACAAATTCAACTTAAGAACAAACCTACAGTCCCTATCTTGTATGTAACCCGGGGACTGCCTGTACTGAACGAAGAATGATTGGACAATTGTACCCTGATGCTTAATTTTGTAATGCTCTTCTTCACAATAACGAGTAGATGGTACCGAAAACTGCAACTATTAACCTGTACACTAACTTCCTGCCCCTGTGCTTCCATTCCTTGATGTATTAAATGTAGCGGAGGTAGCAGTAAAATATTCCAGGCGGAAAAAAAGAAACTAGATTTTGGAGACACGAGTGAGAGTAACAAAGGCTTGAAATAGCAATCTAAATACTGTGATACATACAGACAGACAATTAATTTGAGCAGAATCATCTTTTCATGTATGGAACATAACTATGGGCCAACAGAAGACTGTATCAGTAGCGATTAGTCAGGTTGTAATATTTATTTATATTGTAGGCTGCGTTTATAAAGCAGAAATGATTGAGATAACACAGTGCTAACCATAACAGGCAGATTGCTCAATGTGGAACTACACCTTCTTATCCTTTACAGCCAAGGAAGGTGTCATCTTAGCCTCTATTTGGATTGCAGTTGCCATGGTGCTGCAAATGTCATCAGCTATAACACCAACCATTTGAGGGTTTTAAAGTTTAGTTTTGAGATGAAATAAGCACACTGGCAAAGGTTTGCATGCCTTGAAAGTAACGGTTTTCAGAAAACATTAAATTGGTGGATTCAGTTCCTCTTTAACTTGCACTGAAGAGTGGATCTGCATGTTGGGTACGCATATGACCCAAATAAGCAGATTCCCCTCCACGTGGCAAACTTGAGGCCACCCCATGGTATCTTTCATGTACAGTTCAATCAGCTGATCCAACAACTGCCATCTTACAGTCTTTGTGCACACTTTCATACCTGAGTTTGCTCTGAGGTGACACAGGGTCCATTGCAAAGGGTGAAGACGTTCTTGACCCAAAGCCCAATGCAGTATTGAGAGACTCCAAGGAGGGGCTCTTGCGGGGGAAACGGTCGGGAGTAAGCTCATCTCTTTGCCCGTTATGTTTATCTGTTGGTAGAAACATTATCTTCAGTATAGCAATATAGAAAAGAAACTGAACATATTGCAAGGATAAGTAATGTGTAAAAACAAAAACAAAAATTCTGCAAATGTATGGGTAACCATTATAGAAATTAAAATAAAAATTACAAAAACCTCAAGAAATACCTTAACTATAATAGTTATAATAGAGAAAAACAAATGGATTAATTGAGAACTGGGTTCATTGGGCAAAACTGTTTTACTTTAGATAAATTACAATTTAGCGATTCTCAGACATATGTGTGAGATAAGTACAGCAGCATGTTAGTTTTGTCTTAGGCTGGCTTCACACTTATATGTTTCTATTTACATGCTTTTTTATGAACGTTTTTATTGTGCTGTTTCTCAAATTATGAGCTTAGCATTGAGGGAGGAGTGAGAATAGCCTGCCATTTCCAACACATGATTCAAAAGCATGATTGCATCATTAAATCTGTCTCTGGCTACAAATGTTACGATGATGTTGGAGAGATCCAGAAAGCAGTCAGTTGGTAATCGTAACAATTGTCTGCTTTTAATATTCACCACGATTGACCATATTATTGCACAGAATTAACTCTAGTTTCCTCTTGATTAGAAAACAGGCATTGATATCTTAGGCCATTATGTATAAGTGTCCTTACTAAAAAAATTTACTTTTCCTTAACACAGTGGTGGACAAAGCCATCAAAGGGCACCTGTGATGGAAGAAATATTTGGGTCCACTTCCATTACTGCCCAAGTGCAAACATTTCTTCGCTTTGATTTAGATAGAAGCATGCAGGTAAAAAGTAGCCTTTTTGGTACCCTAAACTCTTTTATTGTCCAGTATGCAGACAGTGTACACCACTCAGCTGCCAGCACTTGTCTTGTCTTAATGGTATCAAAGGGCCCCTGGATCTGTTCCAAAATTATGAATACTGGTTCAAGGACTGTTTTAAAGTGTAGGTCTGAACATTCGAATTGCCTGGTGATCATGCTAAGCCAAAGACCTTAAAAAAACTGATTACATCATTGAAATTTGGCCCGACTACAAATATTACCATAACACTGTACAGATCAGAAAGCAGACGGCTGGTAATTACTGTATATTGACTATTATCTGCTTTTATTATTCATATTAATTGACCGCATCCCTGCACAGTAGCAGCTGTAGTCTCCTCTATACTGTGTTGACAATTTTAACAGTTTCAGTTAGTGTTAAAGTGTACCTGTACTCAGATCAAAACAGTGGAACTAGCCAATAATGAGTGCATAAGAGATCCCTACGAGTGTCTCCCTTTTCTCCATAGGATAGGAGAAAGGACAACTTTTACATTTGGGTAAAGTTAAAGTTAAACCTTTCCCCTCCCACTCCACCTACTCCCCTGCTGTTGATACAGATGTGCATATTCATCCTGTCCACTGCCAGGCTTCTGATACTGTATGGCCCAATCACACTTAAGTGTCATACTGCATGTTATTGCAATGCATGTTAACATGCGAATCATAATGTGGTGAGTTGTGAATGTCACCCTAACACACTATTACAGTAGCTGGCTAAGGAAGAGCACTGCTGCACACCAAAACACATATACATGCAATAAAAAAAGTCAGGTCCTTTTTTTAAAGCATTAAAGTGTGCTTAACACAAGTCATAGAGTAGATGGACCCTAAGGATTCTTGTGGTAGAGATCTAGCTGACTTTATTGTGAAGGCTGGATCAAATAAAAGGTAAAAAGGTGGCCTTTATACCAGTTTTCCATTTTTGCTAGTGAAGCAGACTTGCTCCATGATACTAAGTAAAGTGTATATATAACCAATGCATTTTTTAGTTTTGAACAGAGTAGAGAAAGGTTAAAAAGCCTGTATTTTTTTTGCCTTCTGTGCATCAGTGAGGATATTCATCCTTACTTCCTATCCCAGAGACAACAGGAAGTGAGGGGAAATTTCCCCTTATACATTGGAAGATTTTTTTGTCCATATGCACTCCAGTGACAAACGTAAAATTTTTGATTTTTTGTATCACTTTCTGTTCCGATGGTCTTCTGAGCAAACAAGAAGAGAAGGTAAATCTCATAAAAGCCTGACAGGGATTTTAAAACTTCCACTCCATCTAAAAAATAAATAAATAAATGCTGGATTAAGCTATAGATAAAAACGTAAAGTGTATGTACACCCAATCACTAAATCTCATATACTGTAAGCTTTACCTTGGTATTGTAATTTGTAAAGTATTTTTTTTAAATACTTTCATATCTTAAGCATTTATTTAAAAAGTACCTGATCTAATCATGAAGGTTTTTGTTCAGGTGCTTTCTTTTATAGGGTGACAATACACTACTATAACTGTCTCCAAACTGCACATTGGATTCTGATGGAGACTACAACCATGCACCATGGTTCCTCCGACCACTAAAAGACCCAGCAGTTATGTAGGGGTTGGAGGATGGAGTCAGAGAGCAGGATGGGGGCACAGGCATCCGCCACTCCTGAAAGTGTCGAATGTTGGAGACTGAAACGCTGAGGGGAGGTATGACGCAAGAGCCACCAAAGAGACAAGTATATGATTTCTTCTATTGTAGGGCACTGGCAGTTTTATAATTTTAGAGACCTGACACGGTCTCTTTAAACAGGCCAGGTAGAACTTACTAACCATTGTGCTATTGTTCTTAATAATTCACGGTAACTGTTTGTGGTATTTATACACAATAAGGACAAACCTTTCTTTCCAGTAATCAAACTATGTCTCTAAACCTATTCCTATCTGCAAAGTAGACATTACATTACACCATCACAAATAATGGATGTTCATGTATATATCTTAGCGGCTGGCTCCAGGATATCCTCTAAGCTTGTCGGGCACCTATCCCCTCCCTAATAAACAATTACACATTCATAAAATACAGAAAACACAGGAAAAGAACAGTTACTGAAATCAGCCTTGAAAAGATAGCAATATTTAAAGTGTATTTATCTCTTGATAAAAATACGCCAAAGCACAGAAGCCTCACAATGGTGGTCGCAACAAGATTAATTATTATCAGGAGGAAATTACATCTTCAGCTGCAGAAAACGTGATCAAGATGCAGTAATACTTCCAGTATTCCAGGAATACTACGGCATGTCTGCCATTGTTGTACATACAATAAATGATCCATTAGAACAGGCATACTTCATATTGCCAAAAAAGTCAAAATCCCCAGTAGAGATTCGGAGTCCCCTCCAAATCCTTTTCTTATTTTACAGGTGAGGACTCCAACTGTTAAACACTGTTAATATGATGGCAATAACTGAGTTCTACATATAACTGATTGTTAAAGAAGTGCACCATCAGGGGATTATAGCTAGCACCAGAAGGAGTAACGTGGTGGTTACCTTTAAAGCAGAACTGTAGTCTTTCTAGAGTTCATAAACATCTGTGTGAAGAAGCTCAACCTAATCAAATCAATATTAGCAATGTCTATATAGATCAGAAACCTTGTTAGCATTGGTATATACCTTGTTATATATATTTACAAACATATATATATATATAGTTGGGGTAGCCAATACTGGCCTAATCTATATTATTCTTACTGTAAATAGTGTGAAGCACAGTGGAGCCTTCTTTAAAGCAGAAGTTATCTTCATGTCTTACTTCTATTAAAAAACCCGAAAATAGCAGGTTATTTTGTATTTTAGGATAGGCATAACAATTTGATCATTCTGATAGCCTGGGCCAACTGTGCATCCAGAACCACTGGTTTACAGTACATCCTAATATTGTAGAACAATTTATTGCAAACTGCATACATTTGTTAAGGCGTGCTGAACAGCAATTTAAGACAATAGAAAAACCCCTCATACTTGCAACAGGCAATGCAAGAACTGAACGTACAATCTGGCTTAGTAGGACTTAAAGTAAAAAGTGTTCAACTAACCTAAACATCTTAAGAGAATTAAAGCCAAACATTTTTTGGCTTTACTTCTCTATTGGGTCAAAGGAGTACAGTTACTAATGTACTACTGTGACCCAAAGTCAGCAGATAGCGGGCTAATGCCCACAAAGAAAATACATAGTGATTTCTGGTATGGAGGAGCATGGAACTTGTCACTTACTCCATGTGACAGCACTTCATCACCAAGCAACGAAGTTATCACATAGAGAGGGTCAATACTTTTGCGTAAGCTATGACTTAGGAGACTCATAGCTTACACAGGGAAGCTTTTCATTCTCCTGGCAGCTAAGGGCTGGTGCAGACCCTGGCCGATCCAGGACGCGCGTCCCGTGACCGTGCACAATTGCACAGAGCGATTGCCACGTGGCCCCATTGATTTCAATGGGGTTACATCCATGTACTTTTTTTCTGACACACAATGCACAGCTGTTTTAGCCAGGATCATGTTCGTTTGCACGGGTGGAATCGCGGCGGGAAACCGCGCAATCGGCCCGGGGCGATTGGGGTGCCATTACAAAATAATGGCACTGCCAGCGCGATTGGCAGTGGTGGGCGAGCGTGACTGCATGGCAATCCGCGCAGTATCGTGCACAATTGCCGCGCAGTCACGAGTCGCGCAGGTGTAAACCTGGTCTAAATGGAGCAGTGTGGGAGTGAATCAAAGGTGAGTATGTGCTGTAGGGGAAGGGTAATTAAAGTGAACCTGTTTCTTTGACCTGCAGAGGTTCTTGATAAAGAAGGCTCTGTGATTTGCCTGTACATAATTTTTTCCTCCTCAACTACTCAACTGAGTGTTTGAGCCCCTGAACCCAGGGGCTTAGTAAATGCTTTCTCGAAAACCCATATGTTGTACTATGTAATGTGCACGCCTTTCTGACTTAAAAGGTCAAAAGGTGGAATGTGAGAGCCTTTTATCCATGAGACAATTTTTGTATACTAAATGGGGCAAGTAAGGAAAAGAAAAACATTTAAAGTGACACTAAACTCAGGAGTTAAATTCTAAAAATGCATTCAGGTACCTTAACTATTAACTGCCTCCGGGCCGGCCGTAGTAGAAAAACGGCCGGC